TAATTTCAGGGCTACAATTATCCAAAAGATTCTAGTGAAGGTGCAATGGGCATCACAAGGTGGAACAGAGTGTTTTCTGTTTCAGAGAAGAACCCAGCCTAAATGTGCAGGTCTGTTTGTGATGAGGGAAACAACATTATAACATAGATCAGATAGATAATAGAGTAATATGGGCTCTTTAAATAACAAACAGTGTGGTAGAATAAATCATTGACATTTTAGACGAAATGTTTTCCCTTGTGAATAGTTTCGTGCATGAAAAAAAAATGTTCCAGAATAAATTGTTTCATGAACTCTCATTACATCAGTAGAGAGACATGATTCTTCTTGCTTTCTGTCCGGACTCTGGGTTGAATTTGCACCAAAGCCATTAAATATTGCTTTGCGATTCCTGATATCCTCTTTCCTCTCTGTCCCCCTTTTGTTTATCACTGGAGGGGCCTAAATTAAGTTTCAGCCTGGGCGATTCGAACCAAATATATCCATTTTCTTGTCTCACACCACAGTGACCAGGAGTCTCATATTGCTTTTTGCGCTCTGCATTTTCCATAGCCGACATTCACATCACTGGGGTCACTGCAGTTGTGGTTTATGGGCTGAACAGGGTTGGAAAGTTCACTCGTGCTGTGATGGTCCAGAGTGTAGCCAGCCCCTGACAGCACCCCCTAGAGACAAAGCTGTGTCGGGGCAAAGAGGAGGCACGTAGCACAGGGAGGGATGGAGGGATGAATTTGAAAGTTGAATAAATCAAGTTTTCTGGTATCACTTTATAACAGCTTCACTTTTATTAGCCTTAAATAAAACATGAACAAAGACTGCAAAAGGTGCATTGTGTGACTTTTCTGGGATGGAGGAACGCATTTGAAAGTGGAATAAATCAAGTTTTCTGATATCACTTTTTAACAGCTACACTTTTATAAGCATTAAAGGTGCATTGCGTAACTTTTCTGGTGGAGGGTCCATCAAATGCTTGTCTCCATAGAGATGTTATTGCTTTGTCTGGAATGTTTCACAGTGTGGCGTTAGACCTTTCTATCTTCAGACCAAACCAGACCAAGTTACAAGTCAGATCTGCAGAGAGGCAACCTGGCTCACAGTCAGAATGCCTGTTTTTTCAGCAATAAAACCACCTGTGATTTAATAAAAGTAAAGTTGAGCTGTTTAATGTCATACTGTGGAATATTCCAAGCCAGGCTGGCGCAACTTAGTGCCTCCTCTCAATTTCATTTCTCTCCAGCGACTAGGTCAGGACCCCAAAACTCCGGAAGTGCGAGTCCGGGCACCAGCCAGTCAGCAAAGAACCGTACATTCTGTGTTGGCAAAGATTCCCAAGATCAAGGATGTAAAGCTGGAACAATAAGAATGTTTGGCAAATTTTATCAAGAGAAAAGATGTTATTGCCCTTTTTTCTACGGGATTTGGGAAAGGCTTAATATACCAGTTAGTCCTGTTAGCAGCGCATTACATACGTCTCGACCAAATAGCATCGACTGGTTAAATAAAAATGTGCCCCCTACAGTTAAGTGAACAAATCCTCATGCTGAGAGGTCAGACTGTTTCCATAAAGTGAAACCGGCTGATGAATCATGCTAGAATATTCCAGGCAGAGCAATGACATACCCATAGAAACTAGCATAGCACACCTTTAATTTATAACAAACACAGTAGTTTATTAAAAATGACTCATGCTTAGTAACTACAAAACTAGGGGTTAGGTGTTAGGGTTAAAGTATTAATTAACTAGTTCCTCAGCCTGAATCACTAATCAGTAACTATCTGTTCATCATGCTGAAGGTTAATTAAAGTTTAGTATAAAGTGTTACCAGAAGCAAAAGACAAACTTTAGAAAATTTCTGGTGGTTGGTCACCATCTGCTTGTCTACATGAAGATGATTTTGTTTCACCTGCAAGCCTCCATGGTGATGCATTATTAAAAACATTTTTGCAATTATTAATCATAGGTTTGTATTTGTCAAAAACATTCTGACTGTGAGGAGACTTCTCCAAAGACCTGACCTGTAACTCGGCCTTCTAGCATTAACTTTGACAGAAAAGTTACACCAGAAAAGTTGCATATAACTTTAAAACTTGATTGGCTCATTCACTATTAGCAGTGGAGTTTAGAAAAGTTTAGAATACAGCAATGTAATCTGTGACACATTGTAAAACATACCAAAATAAAATTATAAAAATGATTGTGAGGTTCTGTAGCATTACCAGTTCAGCAGATACTGAATGTGAGCCAGAAATATCAAAGCTTATTGATGTTATTATTGCTATCATTTTCTTTTTTCTTTTTATTTTTTTTATATTGTGTCTGAATTTCTGTCTATGGTTTATTTTAAGATTATGTTTTGTGTGCCCAGTTTTTTTTTTTTTTTAATTAATGATTTGAAAGCAAAGTTGGAAACAAAAAGAAATATTAAAACTTGTTAATCACTATAGTTGTACTAGTTTGGTGGACACTAACCAAACGAAAAGTAAACACATAAATAAAACTTTGGTGCAAATTCAAAACTATAAGAAACTGACGGCCCATCATGTAACTCCGCTCTGTCCTTTACATCCACCATCTCTCTGCTTCCACCTGGAAAAAATAGCACGCAGTGAAATGTGATGCCGGGGCAGTGGGCGGTAATGGGGGGTCTGAGGGGGGGTGTCCGTGAGGGGGGGTGGGCTTCTCCGGTCCCTGCTCTGTCCCGCTAATGGAGATGGATGTGGGGCTGGGATTGTCTTCCGAATGGAGGAGAGGAGGAGGGGGGGGGGAGAGAGAGTGAGAGAAATGGGTTGCTGCTGATGAGAGGAGAGGGGGCTGTCTGATGATCACGACTCCATAAAAAATGAAAACAAATACACGGAAATATAGCCAAGGGAGAATGAGCAAAGTAGAAGAATGACATGTTGACAACAGACGAAGATAGATGAGAAGACAGAACAGCTCAAATCAATAACGTTAAAGGGGGAATCCACAAGCAAACAGAGGAGCAAATAGAAAGGAATAGGTACACACTGATTACTGCAAAGGTATTCAGTCAGTCTTGTTAATCCTCTATATCTGAATATTGTGTGGCAATGATGCAGTTGTCTAAACAGCTTTGTAAGTGGAAGGTTGCAGGTTTGGGTCAGGGTGTCATAAATTTGCCCACTCTAGTCACTGGATGTACCTGGATGGAAGTAGCTTGTTTCATCAGCCAGTTTCACTCCGTGGAAACCGTCTGACCTCACAGCATAAGGATTCATTTGCTCGCTGGCGGGTACTATTTTATTTAACCAATCGCTGTTATTTGGTCGTGACGTATGTCCACTAACGGGGCTAACTGGTATATTAAGCTTTTCCCAAATCCCGTAGGAAGAAGGACAATAATGTCTTTCCCCTTGATAAAATTCACCAAACATTCTCTTTGTTCCAACTTTAAATCCTTGATCTCGGGAATCTTTGCCAACACAGAAAGTATGGTTCTTTGCTGACTGGCTGGTGCCTGGACTCGCACTTCCGGGGTTCTTGCAAACCATCTAGTGTATTCCGATTCCTGACCTAGTCGCTGGAGAGAAATGAAATTGAGCGGAGGCACTGGGTGGCATCAGCCTATCTAGGATGGAAGGGCATCTGGCACAAAAATCTAGATAAAGATAAAGGGGGTAGTACTCCAGCAAATGTATCTTGTTTGAATACGGGTTGGTAGTGGTGCAGTGGTCTTAACTTTGCTTGTAACCGGAAGACTGCAGGTTTGAATCAGGGGGCCATATACATCTACTCACTCTAGTCACAAGTAATATATCTGGGTGTGACTGGAAGGGCATCTGGCAAAAAAATCTACCACACACATAATAAGGGGGTAGTAGAGGTTAATACTGTGTGGCAGTGGTGCAGTGGTCTAAAATTTACCTTGTAATTGGAAGGTTGCAGGTTTGAGTCGGGGGACCATATGCTGGCCCACTACAGTCGTAAGTAATATATATGGGTGTGACTGGAAGGGCATCTGGCTTGTTAATATACATTTTAATACTGTGTGGCAGTGGTGCAGTAGTTTAAGCTTTGCCTCATAACTGAAAGATTGCAGGTTTGAGTTGGGGTACTGCGGTAATGTCGCCCGCTCCAATCACAAGTATCAGGTCTGGGTGTGAATGGAAGGGCATCTGGCATAAAAAATCTGCCACACTGCTTGTATTGTTTGTCTTTTATCAGAGAATAATAACAGCCAGTTATTTTTTTGTTACATTGTTTTTTGAAATAGCAAAAGAAAAATTCAGTTCAATCAGCTGGACTAAAGTTTTTTGAGTTAAAGACGTTTTCTGGGGATTTTTTTTTAAACAATATAAAAAATGCACTTCTGTAAAAATGACCCATTTTTGCTTTTTTTGTTTATTTGGTGGGATCATTTACTATGTTATGTTTATGCTCAGAAATACTGACTAGAAGCAGCTTTACACCAATGAGTTGAGCTCTAGGTCTGAGTCAGTTGGAGGTCCTATTAGCAAACTCTTATCTCTCAGTGACACACGGTGGTGACTCCATGCACCACTGCCTAATGTAGTCTTTAATGGAAATAAATTAATAACTTTGACTAAGCAGAAACACAGACAGAGAAACGGAAAATCTCTGCTCAAATAGTATACATAAATTAGTAAAGCTGATCAAAGCAATGAATGAATCATTTATTTTTAGCTACTACATGTTTCTGTGATGTTTTTGTGAACACTATAATGATTTTAAACATTTGATTCAGATATTTTGTAAATCATAAATTTTCAAATAAAAGTCCTTGAGTTCCGTACACAAATGCACTTACATAAACAGAATCAGACGGTAGTGTAGGGCTACTCTTCTTTGGTCATAGCCTGGTTCTACTTTGCAGATATAAAACAAACCGCCAGCCGCACTTGAAAAAACTCCTTTATTTCTTCTAACGCTGAACACATGCCTGGCATTTTTGCAGAAAGATGTTTTAATTTATTCTTTTACTACAACTGTGAAAGTCTGTGTTCTTTGTTTTGTCTATTTCTGCCAAATTTAGCAAACTATTACTTTAAAAAATGTAAAGTATAATAAAATCTTTAAACAGCTTTAGATATAATTGGCATCCGTTTTAGAGCAAACCAACTATAATCTTGTTACGTTAATACTAGACTTCTCCTTAAAGTTTTAAAGGGGCTCCAGCTGTTTGAAAAATGCTCATTGGAGTTTGTATCAAAATCTATTCTTGTGCAAGTGCTCCCTCTTGTGGACAAATGTTACAACACATGCTACACGAGTACATCTAATCTTACATCATCAAAAACAGCAAATAATGTACAAACTAAAATGCTTTGAGTTATAACAATGAAATATGAAATTAAATAGTAAGCTTATACATATCTGCTCTTGATGAGTTCTTTCCTTTTTAGATCACGTTTTATTATTTACATTATATTACACAATGTACACTTTCCTATAGGCTGCAATCATGTTCAAGTATTTGATGAAGTCATAATCTCAAATGGGCACAGGCTTATATAACTATGGAAGATTTAAGAAATAGCCAAACTTATGATCCACAAATTTTGAGTTCTATCATTATTTGTTCGGAATTGGATCTATTTTATTATTCGTGTTATATTTGAGATTTGTTTATATATACCAAGAGAGGTTACATTGAACGTTGTGCCGTTTTTTGTTTCATGTGGATCATAGACTGTATAAAGAAGTGGACTAAGGGAGTGTGACGTCACCCATAGTGTTCGGCTCCAATCAAATGAAACTCACGAATTTGGCACGAATTTGGAGTTAAGTTCTATAGTAGGAATAGGAATTTATTTTCAAACCAAACGGGGGAAAAAACACCAGGATTAATACAAACATTTTAAGACCAAAATGACAAAGCCCACAGCAGCAGCTACAGAGAGATGGGTGACATTTTTTCAATGTAAGGTCAATTGGAGCTGGAGTCGATGGAGCAGGTAGTGTCCCTGTGGTCACTTCCTATTTGGAACGCAGCGGCTAGTTCTTACAGATATCAACCACAAACCAGGTCAACAAATCTGAAATTTAAAAGAGAAATTTCACCATAAAATTCTGACTTGTTTTCCAGCTTAAGTTAAACTTTCAATAATGTTGTGATTTCACGTGAACGCAGTTGTCCTTTCACAATAAAAGCATCATTATAATTTCTTTTTCAGCTCCAGTATGGCCTTCTTTAGCTCTGTCAGATCCTCTTTTATCTCCTCCAAGACGTCCAGTTTTGACAGTTTCTGGTTAATATTTGTGAGCACATCGTCCTCCGTCTCCTCCTCCTCTCTTTGTGAACTCTCCTCTATATGTGAACCCATCACTTGCTCCCACACCATTTCAAAATACAGGTCAATGAACGCCTCAAGTTCCTGTAAGCTACTGTCACCCCATTGATCGATAATATTTTGTAGACTTCCATGTTTGGTAAGCCTTTCGAGAGTCCTATCTATCAACATGGGCTGACATAGGGAGCGGGCTGGGTTGGTCATTTCATTCCTTCTGCTTTGTGAATGAGGAAGGAACAAAACAATGGCTGAATGACCTGATGTTTCACAATGTAATCTCATATTTGTTGGTGTGTCCTCTCCAAAAAGCCAAACAGGAATCTTGAATACTAACTTTTGTCCAGCCTCTGTCAATGATAATCTTTTTCCATTTGGTAAAGTTGTAATGCAGCATTGGAAGTTTGATCTATCCTGGATGTTTTCCAATTCACTGCTACTTCCATGTGGGACAATGAGACCAGGTGACTCTGAAGTCTTTATTGTTGAAGATCCTGCAGCTGTAACAAAGAAAACCAGTGTTATTCAAATAGCCATAAATTATCCAAGTGCATTGTTTAACTTTTCTGGTGGAAAATGTTTTTTGTATGTTTTACAGTATAGTATTAAACCTTTCCATATTCACCAAACCAGACCAAGTGCTTTTCTATGTATTTTTGAGCTATAAAACCACTTGTAATTGAATAAAGGTAAATTAGTAGTGAATGATATATTAGTGCATTTGTAATGGAAATTTCTATAATATTTGTGAAGTAGTAATAGGGTTGTCCAAAAAAAAACTATATCCAGATACTAAACAATATTAAAATTGATATGCAAAGTAGATGGTATTTTGAGATAGCTAGACAAAGTACATTTAAAGGTGCATTGTGTAACTTTTCTGGTGGAGGGTCAGTGCTTTTTCTAGTAAATTTTTAACCTGTAATTGAATAAATGTAGCTGTTTAATGTCACATTGTGGAACATTCCAGACAGAGCAATGACATATCCACGGACTCCTAACCAAAAAGTTATACATGGCACCTTTAAAGGATAAAGCTGAACCTTTCCTTAATAGTTTTAGAATGGTCTAAATATAGGCCCTACAGGCTTTCAGAATAGTAGGTCTCTAAGACCACATGGTGATAAAAAGAAACTACTGTTATTATTGTGTTGAAATTCCATTATATAAAACGAGTGTTTTTAATTATCATTGTGGAATTGTTGTAGAAAATTAGGCATTTTCTTAGAATCAAATTTCAGTTAGTTTGGGGTAAGATATTTGTTCTGGGTGCATCCTTTCTTTATAAGCGTAAGATCACATAATAATTTGAGAAACTGTAGAAGTCTTTTTAAAGGATAAGGGCTAGAAACTGCATAAGATTTTTTTTTTATATATATATTATTTAATGTTGTAATTTTTGTGACGACGTTAGATAAAAAGATAGTTTATCAGGCTGATGTTCTGGGTGAATCCTTTCCTTATAAGAATAAGATCACATGATGATTTGAGAAATTGGGGACTTTCCTTTAAATGACAAGGTTAAGAAAGTGTATAAAAGGGGTAATGGTAGCTCATTTAATACAGCATTTGTCCACTGATCTGAAGGTTAGCGGTTTGAATCTCACTCTTGACTTAAACATCACTGGTTGATCTAGCTAACTTTAAATATAGGTTGCTGTGTTTATTTCTATGTTGCTGCTAAAGAGGTCAAATACATCAAATCTGCTCATAAAATGTTCAGACACAATTTTTAGACTCAACCAAGAAAAACATTAACGTCATCAACAATAGTGCATGACAACTTGATCTTGAAGCCATGTCATTCCCATATCACACTTGACACATTCACAGTAATAGTTATTGGCGCATCTAACCACAAAGTACTTTATAACAACTGTGAAGTGTCAGCCATCAGATCTGATTATTTGAACAAAGAAATTCAAAAATGGCCAATGGGTTTACTACTTACAGTCATCTGATAAATGCAGTTCACAAACAGCTTTTGCCTCCAGGTGTGGTTGTTTTTGCAGGATTCTCCTTGTCATCTGGTCACCATTTTCAAACATTTTCAGTCTTTCTTTCACTGTCATCTCTTCAATCAAACCTATCATGTCATTGACTTGCTTTGTACATGCTTTTTTATTGTTCAAAACATGATATCTGTTGCCGCACTTGTTGACAATCTTTTGCAATGGTTGGCCTTCACTCTCTATGTGTTGCTCTATAGTAGTGTCCCCTAGGCAGTCTCCAAAGCTGAACAAAACTATAGTCTTTTCCCAGATTTGTGGTTCTACTTCTTCAATCTGATCCTCAATAGATTTTAAATGGACTTTTTTGAATGCAGAGCTAACATTCACAACCAATAGGAAAGCAGATGAGGTTTTGAAGAGGTCATAGTTCACGCAGAATGATCCAGGGGTGTCCAGAACTGTGACTCTTTTGCCATGGACTTGGTTTTCGTTGAAAGAGGAAGTTTGAGTTTGGGTTTTGAAACAGTCTTGAGACAGAATAGTGTTTCCACAAGAGCTTTTTCCAGTTTTACAGCCACCAAGCAGCACAAGTTTGAGTTCTGACAGAGGAGGGAATTTATCTGATGAAAAGAGGTCATAAAAAAGGATTAGTTAGGAACAGCAAAATTGTATGCAGTAACAAAAAATTGTAGTTAAAGTACTAATTGCACTATAACCAAGTACTGAGAAAATATTTTGCCTTCGGAGTTCCACCAGATGTAAACCAGATCCATAACAGAACTATACAGGGTCTAAACTCGTGCTAAACCAGGTCTAAAATAAGATACACCATTCCTATACTGAAGACTATAAAGTAATAAGTTAACAAAGAAAATTTGGTTAAAGTTGGTAAAGCATAACATACTAACACTAGTAGCTAAACCAGTGGCCCAGTATTAGTATGGAAATGCAGTCACTAATTCTGTTAAGAGTAATATTTATCCCCAAATGTCTTTTTCAACAGATAACAGGAAGAAAAAACATGTAGCACATACTTATACTCTAATACATGTAATAGTCTTAAAGCCTGAATGTGCCAATTGTTCATTAAATTATGATTTTGTTGTTCAGTGTCAGATTACAATACATCTCCAGATATTATAATAAAAGTACATATAACTTGTGACTCACCCAGATTTGCTCTTGCAGTCTCCCTTTGCCTCTCCTTCAGCATCCTTCGTGTTTCTGCTCTTTCAGTCCCTTCTCTCATCTCCTGCTCCAGTTTTATCATCACGCTGTTCTCAATTTCAAAATGCCAGTTGCTCCCACATGCCGAGACCATCTCTTCAATTTTTCCCATCAGCTCCCTAACCTGAAATCCATCCCCTTTAGTTTTATTGTTGAAGACATGATACCTGTTATTGCACTTTTCTACAATCCACCTCAATGGTTTTCCTTCATTCTCTATGTAATATTCTGTGGTGGTGCCTCCCAACCAGTCTCCAAAACTGAACAAAACAATGACTCGATTCCAGATTTGATCACTTATAAGTCCAATGTGGTCTTCCACTGCTTTCCTGTAGGTGTCAGTAAAGGAGCGGTCCACTCGAATTATCAATAGGAAAACGTGGGGTCCAGGTGGGCACAAGGATAGACTTAAAACCATCTCCCTTTTGTCAAATATGGAAGTTTCCTCACTAAAGTAGTTGCACCACCATCCAGGAGTATCCACCACTGTGACCTGTCGGCCAAAAACAAAGGCTTGTCCAACATGAGTCTGTACAGTTCGAGTTTTGTCCTGGTTGTTTCCAAGGATTGTGTGGAAAACTGAAGATTTCCCAGAACCCTTTGCTCCTAGCAAGACAATTTTGATGTCTGTCATGGATCTCAATTTCTCTGAAAAATGAAAAAACACCATAAGATTGAGGGCACAACTTTTTTACATACATTCTAAACAGTCCATTAGGGAAATAAAGGCTCTTTTCAGCCAACAGTAATTTTATTAGCTTGGAGCTAAACTGACATTTTAGAGCTGTTCTTTTCCTTTTCACAAGAGCTGGCTGTGAAAGTTATCCTCATATCAAAAGTATGAAAAACAAAACTGGATTGTTTCATTCATATTGATTATTTTCAATGACAAATAAAGATGCACTATGTAACTTGCCTGGCTATGCCTGGAATTTTCCACAGTGTGGCATTAACTTGTCTGCACAGACACAAATAAATGATGTCAGCAGGCCAGGTGAATGGACATTTTTCAAGATATTATATAGCAGTAAATACACCTGTAATGCCATGGAGGCAGAAAGGCAACTCACCTTTCATCAGAAAAGGTACATTTTATCTTTAAATATAGGACTTAATATCTGAGTACCTCTTGTGTGCTAGCATGGCCAGTCAAGACTATGTCATTCCAAAGTACAGTATGTGTTCCTGTATCTAAAAATAACTCATAAATAACAAAGATAGCAGTATCAAACAAACCAGCTGGTCCACTCTTTTCACACAAAAGATTCACAACAAGGGTATGTTAAATTACTTCCCAACATCATTATTTATTATTTTTTTTGTACTTTTGTTTTTTGTTTTGCAGACATCCTCATTCTTGAAACTGAAATGACGTGGTCAAATTCTCCCTGAAGTTGAAATTTCCCATAAAAGACTGACGTAATAAAACACAGAACTTCCTCAAAGTAAAAATCATAACATTGTGATTCTCATCACATGACATGACTTGGTTTATAAAATGCTTTTATGGTGCTATGGCTTTTAACTTTTTGGAAATTAAAGGAAATATGTCTAAATAACAACCATTCTGCTTACATAAAAGTTCTATATTACACATTTTTTACACATTTACTCGTGTGAGCAAGCCATTATACATAATGCTGTTACTTAAGTGCAAACACACCCAGAGGTATGTTTTGTTTCATTCACACATTTGAGTAATACTTTATTATTAGTCTGTCTACATATTCAAAGCTCGAAATATTCTGTTCCACCTTGTGATGTCACGAAGCAGTAGATTTCACATTGCCTTTTACCTTTAGTTGAGAAGAGATTGGCAATTCCAGGGCTGAAATCATTCAGATGATTCTAGTGAAGGTGCATGAAGTGTAAAAACACAGTGGAGTACTTTTTGTATTACCACATGACATCACAAGGTGGAACAGAGTGTTGTCCATTTGAAGGAGGAACTCACCATGCAGGGTGTGAATGAACATGTGTGAATGAATCAAAACACAATTTCAGGTATGTTTTTTTAATGAGAAAACAGCATAACAAAGAATACAAAATAGCTTAATAAGGATTTTTAAGACATATTAGAACATATCGTTTTCACACATTTAAGTATGAAAGGTGTAGGTTGAAATTGTCTTCACACAAAAATTTAGATAATTATTTGGTGATCTTACCTCTCTGCATGGCCCTCTGCTTCTTCATCCTTTTAAACCGTGAGCGTGCCCTCTCCTCTATCCCCCTCTTCTCCTCTGTAACCTTCTGTAACATATCCTCTGGCATTTCAAACACTGTGTTTCCATTGGCAACCACCATCTTCTGTATCTTCTGCATGAGTTCAGGGATTTGGGTGCCATCATTAACTACAAGGCTGTGACACCTCTGGGCGCACTTGTCATATATCCACTGTAGCTGCTTTCCTGATCTTTGGATATGTACTTCTGCCTCTGTAAGCCTCCAGCTGTCAGTGAACACAAGTACCAAGAAGCAGTGTTTCCAGACAGCGCCCCCTAGCAGCTGGACGTGCTCCTCCACTGCTTTACGTCGCTGTTCGGTGAATATTGAATTCGCCTTAACCACAATAATGAACACGTGTGGACCAGGATTGCATAGAGTCACACTGGTCACTATCTCCCTTTTCACCAGTTCAGAGGTATCTTGAGGGGTCAGATCACACCACCAGCCAGGAGTGTCCACCACAGTGAGCCAGTGAGACCCAGAGAACCCCATTCGTCTACAACAACATGTCCTCTCCTTAGTTACGAACTCCTCTTTGCCCAGAAGCAGGTTACCAATGCTGCTCTTGCCTGAGTTTCTACCTCCAAGAAGGACGATTTTTAGCTGTGGCATATACCAGCCATTACCTAAAACACAAAAGGTGATTCTTAGACTTTGACAAACATTATTGATCCACAAGCTAAATTACTGATTCAGATATTCACATATGTTTTTTTTGGGTAGTAAACAGGGCTGGATAATTAATCACAACCACAGTTTCAGTTGGCACAATTAGCAAAAGGTCCAGGCTGCAATTATTTTGAATAGAATGTCATCTTACCTGTACCTACCTCATGTTTAGGCCACTACAAGGAAGTTGTGAAATACATGGGATTCTTGTAACAGTTTATCAGTTCATATTCCAGTCTTCTCTCAAATGTTAATGATCTTGGATTTGTTAACAATATGCAGTCTGAACAGAATCTTGTACTTTTTAAAGAGCCTATGCTATACAAATTTTACTCATCAAAACATACCTGCAGTTGTGTTTTGTTTTGTTCACATATGCTAAAGTAACCATTTATTATTAGTCTGTTTACATCTCCAAAGCTCAAAATGTTCATCACCTTGTGATGTCATGTAGTGGTAGTTTTCAAGTTAACAATTACCTTTAAATTGCAGCTCCATACAGACTGGCAACTTTAGGGCTGAAATCATCCAAGTGACTGTAGTAGGAGTTTAAAAACACTTCCTGTATTACCACATGACATCACAAGGTGGTTAGGAGTAAGGAGTACTCATAACTCACATAAAGAGTGTTTTCTGAGGGAAGAACTCAGCCTAAATGTGCAGGGTTTGTGTGTTAAACGTGTGAATGAAACAAAACAAAACTCCATGTATTTTATTGATGATATATCATTATATAGGCCTTTACACACATCACTAAGTTAATCTCAATACACAATTAGATTTGCTTGCAAAATTGTGCAGCTCTAGTGGAAAATATTATTAAATCTTAGTAAGTACATACAGTATATGATTAAAGACACTGAAGCCAAGACGTGTCAAGGGTTTTACCCAGTAGTAGGAAGTAAAGTAGGAATTTAACTGCTAACCTTTGGGCTGGTGGCAAACTTGCCTTTACAATCTGATATTGTCATCTTGTCATCTTCTAAGTAAATAGATCTATTTAACAAAAATAACACTAGGGCTATATAAATGAATGACTGATTTTAAAACAACAGACTGCAAAAAATATTAAAGAAGTTACCTATTACCTTTATCTTATTAGTTAATAGATAATGACAATAACACTGGAGCAGATGAACGGAAGTAATGAAATCAAGTCTCAAGCAGGAAATTAAACTGAAAAGGAAAACATATCAACAAAAACTATGGGCTAGGACTAAATTTGGCTTTTTGGACTGAACAACTGATTTGAAAACAACAGAATGCAAAAAATATGAAAGATGTATCTGTATTGAGAAACAGCGATTATAAATATAGGCCTAACTAAAAGGTAAAAGAATAAAGGTATTAATAAGCAGACTCACATGTAGGTGGTTTGGTGATTTCCATTTGTAATCCCTCCATCTCACAAACAACAGGACTGAAGAAGTGAGCAAACTCAGACATGGAATCTCAGTTTTATGATTTCTTGAGTCTGAAGGTTTCTGGTAATAAGTGACCAAACAGTGGCCAAGATAAACACACCCTGCTGTGGGTCAACAGTCCAGCAAGGATAACAGAAGGAGGAAACCGTAAAGAAGAATTTATATGTCGTAATTGCCAGTTAATTTTACTGGCTTCATTAGACACTAAATTACAGGCCTTGTACCAAAATTAAAAGGCCCATATTACTCTATTTTTGGAGCTATGTTAAAATGTTGTTTCTTTATCAAAAACACACCTGTGAGTTGTGTTTTCATTCACATGTTTAACACACAAACCTTGCATCTTTAGGCTGATTTCTTCTCTCAAACTGAAAGCACTGTGTTCCAACTTGTCATGGAAGGAAGTGCTCCACTGTGTTTTTAAACTCCATACACCTTCACTAGAATCATTTGGATAATTTCACCCCTGGAACTACCAATCTCTACTGAACTAAAGGGGTTGTTAACTTGAAATCTAAAACTTCATGACATCACAAGGTGGACAAGAGCATTTTGAGCTTTGGAGATGTAGACAGACTAATAATAATGGCTTACTCAGACATGTGTACATGAACCAAAACACAACTCAGGTTATGTTTTTATTAGGTAACAACATTACAACATGGCTTAAATTTCACAAGAGTCAATTTTGTGTAATATTTAAATAAACCTACTAAAAATAGTCCATGGTCCTAGAATTTGATTTACGCGAAATTAAATAAATTCATGGCACATGCAGTGGTTATTGGACAACTTGGCAAGTGTATTGGATCAATTTTAACATTTGTGTGGAACAAACCACAACCCATTTTCAGTCTCCTGTGGGATTGGTAAAACAATGGTTAAGTGGTGGAGGGAGTAAAGTTGATTCAGTTTTGCAGGTCTGTAGATCACATAGACTTGATGACATAGATGTGATCCATGGCAAGTCTTCATTATAAAACATCATGCACAAACAGTGGTGTGACCTTAGGACTAGATAAAGGGGGAGTAGTAGGCTAGCTGGGCAGTAGACAGGGTAAAGTAGTCTGGTGTTCTGGGGTCTGGTGATTAAGGGGCCAGTACATGTCTACTGTTTTTGTTTATTACCGGTAGTAGCATATTGCATTGAATGATGTCTTAAGTAAATGCAACAATATAGGCTATGTATAATTAATAAGAAACACCTATCAAAAATCTATGAGTGAAGTATGCCTTTATTATCACAGTCACCGAGTGAAACAGTGATGGGACATTTGTCAACGAGACGTCTCTTTCAGTTCTTTAATGGCTGGAACTGAATTTCAGTCTTTTTCTTTAACATTTTTATGTATTTTTATCCTGATTGATGGTGAATCATAACAAGAATTAGCACTGAAGCAGAGTATAGCAACACGTGTGACAACTTTGTACACAGAAATTTTTTTCTAACATCATAATAAACTTTTCATTTTAATTTCTTCTTATAGTGTTGCATTTCATTTAGATTATGTACCTATAATTTGAAAGGGTAGACAAATGCCCACTCAGTTTGAACCATTTAAATCTAAGCCTTGGCCATTTCTGTTTGTGATTAGTTTGTAGATAAAATTTGTTCTGACATTAGCTTCAATCATATAAATAGATAGTAATAGAACCAGTCTTTTGAACATCTCTTTGAAATGAACAAAAGAGCATAAACGTTATAAAAGAACAATTTCTACGGTCAAAACAAAATCAAGACAGTTTGAAAGCATGTGATCTTTAGTTTCCCTTTTCAGTCCTGCCAAGGCGTCAAAAGTCACTTTGTTTTTTTTGTATTTTGTCCAGGCCAACCAAAGTCAATAATCAGCATAGTTCCCTTGTAATCTGAGTAATCAACCACGGATAATTACAACAGACGAGTAAAATAAATGGATCTCCAAAAAGATTTACTCTGATGATCGCGTGTCTTTAAAATATCTCGTTCATCTTGCCCAAGGCTGTTGTTGTTCCTGGAAATGAAACCCCGCCCCTCCGCGCATCCCCTTTAAATATCCTAAACGCACTGTTCCCTGGGACAGACTGGGCGCAGCAGCAGCTAGCTTCTCTGTGACAGGGAGGCGACGACAGAACTGCAAAAATGGGATTTAGCGTACGCGTGGAGTACTGGTAATTGCTTTATTATTGCTATATTTAAAATTGTTAAAATAATCCGCGTTTAGATTGAATTGTGCTCGTTTAAATTTGCGCGATGGTGCGGAAAAGACTGCATGTGCTTCATTAGCCTCGCTGTTAGCAAGTAGCTTAGCACCAAGTAGCAAGTGCATGATGGCAGCATATTTGTTCTTAAAGTTGTGATTTATTTTCCGTCTTTTTTCAGTGGCGGTTGAGGTTACGGCCCCCGCTATCAGGAGCTCGCCCGTACAGTAAAGGATGAGTTTCCTGAAGCGGATGTGTCAGGCTTTGTGGGAAGAAGAAGTAAGACATGATGTACTTAATTGTCCCAGATGTGATAACAGTTTTGTTAAATTCGCATCTTTTGCCCACTTCACAGGCAGCTTTGAGGTTGTAATCAATGACGTGCTCGTCTTCTCCAAGCTTGAAACGGGCGGTTTTCCCTATGAGGAGGATGTAAGTACAAATGTGAAGTTATAAAACAGATCGTCGTGTTATGTCACTCTTCTGGTTGCACCAGTTTGATGGAAATTGGCCTAGGAACTAGTTTAGAGAAAAGACAAGATAAACTGGACATGGTGTTAAGTTTGTTGACTAAAACATTTTGCCAAAGTTTTGTTAAGTAAAATGCATAAAACGAGAAATCATCATTACTAAAAGTGTGACTAAAGTAGGTATTTTTGTTGAGTAAATACTGCCCAATGATAAATGGAATGACTGGAAACTACATCCAAGATCCACTTTTAAACCAGTGCCTCCAGCCAGACCAACAATGCAATACAATTTTATATTCAAAGTAACTATACATTTTGGGTTGACTGAAACTATTATGGATCAGCTTAATTTTACAGGTTTGTAGTCTAAAACTATAAAAACTGGTATTTTATAGCTTTTTGTGACTAAATCTTAACTAAACTAAAAATCAATTGTATTTAAGGTCTAAAGCTCCAACTAAATTAAAATTACTTGTCATAATTGACACTGCTTCACATATTTTTGATGAATTACTTCATGCTGTGGTTATCAAAAACAAGTTTGTTATGCAGTTTTCCTCGCAGGATGATCTTGTTCTCTTGTGAATCAACAATCCACCTAGAGCCACTCCCAAATGCTTTATTACGCAGACTACAGTGTGGGATGACATTGCACATTAGGAAACCTGATCTTTGTTACTTTTTATATTAAATAAAAGAAATAATCACTAACTTTAGCACAAGAAATGTATTTGTTTTCTTTGGGATTAATAATTTTACCTCATGTCATGTGTGACTTTCACTTAAAGGTTCTAATATTACTCAAAATTTACTCTTGTGAGCTTTAAGGCATGTTGAAAAACATACCTGGAGTTGTTTTGTAAATGCATGTTGAAGTAATCCTGCGTTATTAGTCTGTCTACATCTCCAAAGCTCAAAATGCTCTTTTCCACCTTATGATGTCATGAAGTGGTAGTTTTAAGTTAACTTCTACCTTTTACCTTTTCTTCATCAGAGATGGGCAAATCATTCAAATGAATCAACTGAATGTGTATGAACACAGTGGAGCACTTCCTGTATTACCACATGACATCACAAGGTGGAACCAGAGTGTTTTCAGTTTGAGAGAAGAATGCAGACTAAATATTCAGGGTTTGCATATTAAACATGTGAATGAAACAAAACAACTCTGGATAGGTTTTTGATGAGGAAACAATATTATAACATCAATGAGGCAATATGAGGCCTTTTAAGGAACCATATACCTGCCCACATCTTTGCATAATCTGGGTGTAGCAGGGCTGGCTCTAACTATAGACACATGAAATTTTTGCCCACATATTCAAACCTACTACCTAAAACAAATCCTAATACATTTTGAACCAGACCTGGGGTGTAATATGTTAATATTGTCATACCACAATGATATATAAAATAAAATGCATATCATTCCTCTTCTTGGAATGTTCCACAGTATGACGTTAAACACCTCTCTCTACCTTGTGTTTATTAAATTACAGACAATTTTTAAATTATTATTTTTGCCATCAGTACATTTGTAGCTCAAAAATACCTAGAAAAACAGGCATTCTGAGTGAATGGGGGTACCTTTCCACAGATCTGACTGGTTACTTGGTCTGGTTTGGTCTCCGTCAAGATAGAAAAGTTTAAGGCCATACTGTGAAACATTTCAGACAAAGCAATAAGCATTTCACAGACCTTCCACAAGGTACACAGTGCACATTTTTAAGTGTCATTTTGTTGTAGATCATGGAACAAGTCCAAAATGCAGCAAAGGGGAAACATGTTAAAAAGATCACCAAAAGTCGCCCACCATGCGTCATCATGTAAGCATCCATCCGTGAGCGCCAGGGCATCGGCTGGCAGCGTCTCCTCCAAATACAGTCTGAGATGATCCTCCTGCCATGTGCTGGGTCTACAACTTCCAGCAAGATTTCAGCAGAGATGACTTTGCTGGAGGCTCTGCCTTTTCTAATACTAAACCTCGCTCCCTAGCTCCTCTCTTTTGTCACCATCTTGGGGCTGTAGGCTGTTAATGATTACAATAGCTTGAAAATAATAGGGCTACTGTATGATGAGTCCACGCTTCAGTCCCTACAGATGTGAGCAAAGATGAGGAGAAGAGAGCAGACGTGCCCTGATGCCTCACTGCTTTTATTTTATTTTTTGATTAAAACTTCATAATTTTTGTATTGTTTTTAACAGTATAGCATGCAGTTGGGAATTTATGCAAAGGCAGCAATGTGATTGCTATGTCTTATAAGGCATTCTTGGTTTATCTGTACCTCAGTCTATGCTACATCTTAATTAAGGCTTTTTCTGCATCTACATTTGTCTTGAATTGGAAATAATGTCTCAAAACATGATGCTAGATTTTGTGTTGCAGATTATTTTTTTAACGGTTCAGGTATGACTTCTATTGAAAACCCAGGTCTCGCAAACTATGTTATCTCTTGTAATTGCTTGAATAAATGCAAGAATTCTTTGCGTATTGTCTGTGGTATTTATTACTAACTTCTTGCCACAAAACTGAGGGCTTAAAGGTCCTATATTACACAAAATTGACACTTGAGCTCCAAACCATGTTAGAATATTGTTGGTTTATTTATTTCACATGTTTGAGTAATTCTTTATTATTAATCTGTCTCATCTCCATAGCTTAAAATGTTCTGTTCCACTTTGTGATGTTGTGAAGTAGTAGTTTTCAAGATAACAGCTGTCCTTTTGTTCAGTAGAGATAAGAAATTCCAGAACAGGAAATGATCCACACGTTTCTAATGTGTATGGAGTTTGAAAGCACCATAGTGTTTTTTTCTGTATTTCCACATGACATAAGGTGGTACAGAGTGTTTTCTGTTTGAGAAAAGAGCACAGCCTCAAAATGCAGGATTTGTGCATTAAACATGTGAATGAAACAAAACACAAGTCCAGGTATGTTTCTGAAGAGGAAACAACATGGATCAAAAAATACTATAATATTGAACCCCCTCTGTCTATACAGTTGCTCCTTGGTGTTGTAACTTCAAATACTCTAACCAATACACAAGGTGGCACTAGCTCTTACTGAGCAAAAGGACATTTTTTTCTCCAGAGTCTTACCGATAACATATTTGCTGGTAGCCAGTGTTTAATAGTACACTATGTAACTTTTCAGGGTTTCATCCACTTGAGTATAGGAGATGTTATCACTTTGTTTTGAATGTTTCAAGGTGAAGAGCAATTAAACACTGATAATATAAGATATACAGGATATATAAGATGCATAATCTTAAGGAAAGCTTAATGCAACTGTGAAACATTCCAGGCAAAGCATTAACATCATCCTGGAGACAAGCAGGTCATGACCACGACCTTCACCAGAAAAGCTAAATAGTGCACCTTTTAAGGAATCAAGGTTAAACTTTTAAAATGCCATCAGTTGTTTTTTTTTTTGTTTGTTTGTTTTTTGTTTTGTTTTGTTTTTTTGTTTTTAATTAACTTGATAATGTTTTGCATACTATTAAATTATTAAAAGGTTTATGCCTATAATACTCATTTGTGAATTGTTTTATTTTATTGAATGTATACATTTAAGGCTTTAAAATTGGTCTCTCTTAGATATCCATTGTTTAAAGGTACACTATGTAACTTTTCGGTTGGGGGTCTGTCACCTTCTTATGACATTAAACAGCTCTACCTTACATTTATTCAGTTACAGGTGGTTTTATAGCTCAGAAATACCTACAAAAACAGGCATTCTGACTGTGACCGGGGTTGCCTTTCCACAGATCTGACCTGTAACTTGGTTTGGTTTGGTCTCCATGATGACAGAAAGGTTTGATGTCTTACTGTGAAACATCTCAGATAAAGCATTAACATCTCATCTCATGGAGAAAAACATCTGACTGACCCTCCACCAGAAAAGTTACACAATGCACCTTTTAAGTTTCATTTCAGCTCTCGCTCATGAGTTTGAGTTTGTGTGAGATTAAGACTTAACTCTACAGTGTAAATTTGAACAGGGAGGATCCTCTATTATAAGTGAGCACATATGGACACAGCAGATATCTAGTACAGCCACTGATAACGATACTTCACAAGTTTTTTGTTGAGATGCTCTGAACTTCATTCACTTTTAAGATGAGCGTAGAGTCTTTGAATTTTGTAGGACTTTCAGATGAGCAACACTTAATTAACAAAGGCTTGGTACTGAGCAAACAGGCTTTGTAAGAGGGAGTTACTACAGACACCACAAAATGCACTCATGAAACTAAAGACTAATTTAATCTCTTTACTGGTTACTCACAGCACACATAGCTGCATGACTATACTATCCCATCAACCTAAAATGTACACAAGCAAATCCTTCAGATCTGACCAGGGCCCTGACCTCAGGGCCTTTCACCACTGATCCTTTTTGCCCCTGTTGGATTTGATAATATAATGTTGCTTTATTTTGTACTCCTTTGTATGTTTTAACCTTCAGTCACATCCATGTGGTGTCACTGATGTCTGGAGCAGTGCACATGTCCCAATCTGGAGGTCATGCAACAGATCTGCAAGGCCCACAATAAGAAAGGCAATCATAATTTTATCAATAGGGAAGGCATCCACACCATTCAAGCCAAGGAAATCCCAAGTGTGTAAACAAAGTGACGTGTTCAGATATTTTCCATTTGATATGATGAATGGAAAATTGCCCTCTGTGGTGCCCCTCATAGACAGAGCCTGAGCTGTGACTATGGGCCTGTGGAGGGCGGAGCGGCCCATAGGGCTGGGATATCCCTGTGTCCAGGTGTCGCTCTCTGATAGAGCTGTTTGTCTGTCACTCGCCACTTATCTCTCTCTCCCTTTACTCGTTACTAAGCAACAGCAGGTTTGGGGTCCCGGGGCGACGTAGTTAGATTTGGGTGTTCCCGCTCTTTTGCCTGTATCAGTCGTTTTGAGCTGAAGAGGACTGCGTTTGTCTCTGGGTTCTGAGGCTCACGGAGCACACAGAGCTGTTCAGGTGCTGCAGACCAGGTGGAGCACCTGCACCGCACAGGTGAGGGGCGTGGCTTCTTTCATTTCTATAGGTCATTCTGATAGACCAGTGGGCCTGAGGTGCAGAGGCTGCAACCTGACCTCTGCACCTCAGGCCCACTGGTTAATTACTGTTTGAGAAAAAGACAGAGGAGAAGATAAGATAACAAAATTAGAATTATAAATACATAAAAACTAAATGTTCAGGGAAATTCATTTCAAAATCAGTGATTAATATTTGAGTGAATTTTACATATTCAGCATATTTTATTTTGAATCTTTAAGATTTTTAATGTTAACATAATTGAATTTTAAATGTTAGATTATGCAAAGAAATTTACATTTCTGTTTTCCAAATACAATTAAATATAACATAAAAATGTATTCTCCATCTTGAACATTTTATATTCCACATGAAATGCATTTCAGTCTGTTCATGTCTTTGTGTTCATGTCTCAATGCCATAGCCAGATGTAATTCAAGATATTAGAACTGCTACTGTAACATGTTTACTTTTATTATTATTATTATTATTATTATTATTATTATTATTATTATTATTATTATTATTATTATTATTATCATGGTTGCATTTGTTGAACACAAAACTAGTCCTTATCTTCTGCAGCAGACAAGCTCCAGGCCTCACTGTTCTGTCTTATAGTACATTGTGATACATTTGTGGTACATTTGACTTGTATGGCATGATTGTATGATTGCTTGACTTCTTTTGTCACTTTGATTGCTTTTAGGTATTTTAGTTAAATACCTGAGGGTAGGCCTACAACACAATGGATTGCAATTATAATATTGAAGAGGTTAGTTACATTTTCTTCAGATCCTCTTTTTCTATTAATATACAGAACATTTCAGTAAAAAAAATAAAAAAATTCTAAAACTGTTTCTCTTTCAGGGTAGTGACATGTCATATGAAGAGAGTGATTTTGCACTGCCCTCCCCACTGCAAATGTGAGTATTTTTTTTGTATTGTTTTCAACATTTTCTATTATATATTCTCTCTCATTCATATTTCAAATTCCTATGTTTTTCAATTTGTAGTACAGTTTTGTGCAAATTGTAGATCATGTCTATTTTGGGGGAAAAGGACAATTCATTCTTGCTGTAAGCTTTTGAAGGGGGGCAAAAAAAAAAAAAAAAAAATGCTGATGCTGATAAGAACAGCAGTCATTTTGTACAAATTACAAGAGTGCCCTCTACTGGTGGAAGATAAAAATTGACTTCAGTTACAGTACAGTTTCTGAAGTAATGCAAGTGGTCTATGCATATATAATTGATTTTTTCGCATAATTAAAAAAAAAAAAAAAAAAAAAAAAAAAAAAAAGTCCCATTGGTATTTTGTATAAAATTCTCTTGTTGCAAATGTTATTTTAAAAAAAAAAAAAAAAAAAAAAAAAAAACGCGATTTGCTAATCCAGATGTGTTCTGGTTTTATTTGTTTATTTATTGATTTTTAAACAAGTTAAAATCCCTTTAACAACTAGGCCTTCTCCTGTCAACGTTGGCCCCTATGATGAAGAGAGGAGGAGGGCAGACGAGGTAGGAGAGGACCGCATGGAGACTGTTATCATCCCGTTTGATTCAGAGGGTAAGATTTGTGTCATCAACCATTTTATTATGTAGTCTGCTTACACACACATTTAAATGTTGTGTTATTGTGTGTTTTTTCAGCTTACTTGAATGTGAACACCAATGCCACCACTCGAGGAGATGCACAGGTTAGTTTCTTATGTGGTGAATTTGTTAAAGGGCCTGAACCTGATTTTTTTAATCATGAGTGAGGAACATGTGAATGTGAACTGGAGCCCCACCCATCAGTTTCTAATGCCACTTTGATTTTGCACTTTGATGCAGAATCGACTGTCTGGGATAGTGTCACGTAGTTGATCCCACATAGTTCACTTCAAGCTCTAACCTTATCATGTTGTATTTGTAAAAGTGCACCATGACAGAAAATAAACTGCCCCCATACAAGTAAAACAAAGGCCTTACACAAAATGTACAAAATGTAAGGCATTACACTACTATTGCATTACTTTTAAATTACTCTCACCAAAATAAGTGCAAAGATGCCAAACTTTTGCACCATATATGGACTGAACCAGGACTAAACCAGGTCTAAACTAGGTCTAAACCAGAACTGAATCAGGACTAAATCAGGACTAAACCAGGACTAAACCTGATCTAAATCAGAACTGAATCAGGACTAAACCAGGACTATACCAGGACTAAACCAGAGTTGAACCAGAGCTGAACCAGGACTAAACCAGGACTATACCAGGACTAAACCAGAGTTGAACCAGGACTGAACCAGGACTGAACTGAGGACTGAACATACGTGGACATTGCCTTACATTACTGTGTTACAGCAAAAAGCAATGCATTACAGTAATTTATTACTTTTATAAAGACTCCCAACACTGTTTATATAGACCTACTTGATGTGACCAGTACATGTTGTGATTGCAGGCCTATGTTGAGCTGAATGAGCTTCAGGGGAGCAGTTGGCAGGAGACGGCACGGTGGGTGGGTTTTGAGGAGAATCTGAACACAGCCACAGGGAAATGGAGTGGATCCCATGTGTCCTACCTCACTTTCAAGAGTCTCATCCAGCTCAGAAAAGCTATGAGTTCAGGTAAGTAAGAGAAAAGTCCACAGAATGATTAACAGTTATATTACGCTATTTTCTGATCTATGTTATAATGTGGTTTCCTCATCAAAAACATACCTGGAGTTGTGTTTTGTTTCATTCACACATGTTTAACACTCAAATAAATCCTGCAGATTTAAGATGAGCTCTTCTCTCAAACAGAAAACACTCCACCTTGTTCCACCTCTTGTGATGTCAGGTGGTAATACAGGAAGTGCTCTGCTGTGTTTTTAAACTACATACACTTAAATCGTTTGAATGATTGCAGCCCTGAAATTGAAGAAAAGGTAAAGGTAGCTCTTAACCTGAAAACTGCCACTACATGACATCACAAGGTGGATCAGAGCGTTTTGATCTTTGGAGATGTAAACAGACTAATAATAAAGGGTTATTCAAATATGAGTGAATGAAGCAAAACACAACTCTGGATATGTTTTTGATGAGGTAACAACATTTGAACATGGTTTAAAGATCACAAGAGTCAATTTTACAAAATATAAAACTTTTAAGTTGGATAATGAGGAAGGTGGATTTATTGGTTACAGTGCATCAGCTGATACATATAGATTTCAGCAAATTTTATTTATATATAAGACCTGCATGGCAAAGAATTGTAAGCAAAAGAAAATCCAACTGCAAATGCACAGTCAGTGTTATACCTGGATGGTTTTGGCAGTGAAAATCAATTTAACTCATAATAACTATTGTGGCTGTATGCTGACAATAATCTCCAATACATTACATTTTTTGATATTACGGCTATTTTATTTTGCACTGACAAAGAAAATGTTAAACTTTGTACCAATATTTGTGCATTTTCAGAAAATAGCATAATCTGCACCCTTGAGCAAATTCTAATAAATGTCTCTGTACAACTTTTGTTTTGTATTGTAGTTCTGCCACTACTGTACTGTAAATATGCTTTCCTCTGGTCAGGTGCATTCATCTTTGACTCGGATGCCAGCAGTCTGTCCTCTGTGGCAGAGAAGATAGTTGATGAACTTCTGAACAAAAACGAGATCAGAGCTGTGGACCGGGAGGCTCTGCTCAGGGCTCTGCTCATGAGACGCAGGTATTTTGTTCCGTAGTATAACTTTAAACATTATTATCCCCTTTTTTCATTAAACGTGCACTGTGTAACTTTTTAGTTGGGGGTCTATTACCTACTTCTTTCTATGTATGTCATTGCTCTGCCTAGAATGTTCCACAGTATGACATTAAAAAGCTCCACCTTACATTTATTAAATTGCAGGTGGTTTTATAGCTCAAAAATCCCCAGATAAATAGGCACTCTGACTGTGAGTGGGGTCACTTGAAGTGAGAAAAAGTTAAACCTTTAGTAAAATCTTAAGTGTAACGATCTTAACTGTGTTTTGGTGAAATGTGTTGGCCAACCTGTCATAGTCATTTTATGTTTTCTCCAATATACACAAACAATACAGATAGAATACAGGCAGGCAATAAAGAGTTTACATTTAAATGTGCACTGTGCAACTTCTCTGGTGGAGGGACTGCCATGCATGTCACCATGGAGATGTTACTGCTATGCCTGGGATGTCCCACAGTATGGCATTAAACAAATGCTGCTGCATCTCTTCTATTTTCAGTCAGATGGAGGCCCCTGCTGTGACTGCGGAAGGAAACATCCAAATGCAGACTTTTTCTGTCACTCAGAACGTAGTTCTTCCTTTGTTCTGTTTTTTATTCATTATTATTATTTACTTTGTTCATTCATTTGTTCATTTATGTTTTGTTTTGTTTTCTTTCAGAGAGACAATTCTGACAACATGGAAGCCTCCATTGTTCTGTCTGGTAAGTCTGATTTTCATAATCCTCAGTAACAGGCAAGGCAAGGCAAGGCAAGTTTATTTGTATAGCACAATTCGTACACAAAGTAATTCAAAGTGCTTTACAGAATAAGAAATACATTAAAATCATAATAAAAACAAATCAAAACATAAATAATCATGAAGATTAAAATTAAAAAAGAGAGACATAAATTGGAGAGAAGAGAACAGAACAGGTTAGAACGTAGTGTATAATATAGTATAGTATATTCAGGAAATACAAGCTGTACTTTGTTTGTTCATGCTAAATCAAGATGAAAGTTAATATAATGAAGTCTTCAAGTCGATTTCATACAAGCAGATGTTTTCTTAACCGTGGTAATACAACACCTCCTTCTCTTGTAGGTGTGGTGGAGAACCTGCAGAAGCCAGCGGTGGGCTTTGTGCGTCTGAAGGACTCTGTGGTGATGCCGTCTACTCTGGAGTCTCCGGTCCCAGTCCGATTTGTCTTTGTTCTGGTTGGACCCAGTAACAGCGGCATCGACTACAGCCAGTGCGGGAGAGCCATGGGGGCACTGATGGCTGACTGGGTAAAATGTTACAAAACTGCTGTGAAACACTGCAGTTACTACTATTACTACTATTACTACAACAACTCCAACTGCTCAAATATTTCTAATACTAATGCTACTAATACTGATTGATACTTTGCGGCTGATGTCATAAATTTTCCCTGGGGATATGAAGCTAACTGAAGACACTGCTCTGTCTGAAGCTCTGTTACTCAAACTAGACTTTAATCAGAGCTTAATTTTAACAGCTTTTTCAGTTAGTCTCTTTCACCTTTTTGAAAATCATGCACCTAAACAAGACCATAAAACTAAAACATTTTCTGTGTCAAATTCGATCTCAGGTTTTTTGCCTCGAGGCATTCTTGGCTCAAACAGACAAAGATGTAACAGACGCCATCGCAGATTTTATGGACTGCAGTATCGTGCTTCCTCCGACCGAGATCCAGGACCAGAAAATGCTCGAACCGATTATCAACTTCCAGAGAAAAATGCTCCGTGACCGACTGCGTCCCATTGATAACCGTCTGGCGTTTGGAGACAGAGTCAAAGGTTGTCATCATCTCCATTGCATCACATGACCAGGAAGAAAATTTGATTCACAATTTTAATATCTCACACACACACAGATATTAGGTTTTCTTATGATTTTTCCAGGTAAAGAAGGATTTTATACAGTACGGTCACAATGGTGTGACAGGGTTGTGATTGGTACAACAGGTTTCTTTATACAACATTTCTGAGAATATCTGCTTTCAGTGTAGACAAAACACATTAAAGAAGGGGTTGTTATGCAAAATTGACTTTGTAGAGCTTTCTACCATGTTATAATGTTGTTCCCACATCAAAACCATGTCTGAAGTTGTTTTATATGCCATCCATGCATATTTGAGTAATCTTGCAGTCTCTCCTGGACACTATTTGAACCCTCTTTGTGGTTAGAAGTATGATTCTGTCCAATGCTCAGCCCATAAGTCTGCATCTCCCTTGCCCCCTCATAGTAATTTTCCATCAATATACAAAAGCAGGATACAAACTAATACACTAAAACTTGATAACCCGGAGGTTGTGACTTTTTAATATCCCCTTTTTAATTGATGCTATTTTAGTCATACAGAAGGCATGTTCATCTTAAGAATTGTCCAGTTTGTTACATTTGTAAATACGCAAGGACCATGTTATATGACATCTCAATAATTTGCTGTTAAGATATAGTTAGTTTTTTGTTTAGTTTAGGTTTAGATAGATTGCTAGAGAAAGAAACATGGATATATAAATGAAACTAATCTTTAATTAATTTCTAATGTAGCTGACAAAGCCCCAGAGCCCCCGCGGGAAGACCCTCTTGCCCGTACAGGATACCCCTTCGGAGGGATGTTCAGGGACATAAAGCGGCGCTATCGTCACTACATCAGCGACTACGTGGACGGACTCAACCCTCAGGTGCTCGCCGCCATCATCTTCATCTACTTCGCCGCTCTGTCCCCGGCCATCACCTTCGGAGGACTTCTAGGTAAAAATATTGATTCGTTTTGGTTTTTGAGTTCATCACCACAAATTTCTGTTTCTGTGCAACTTTACATTTTTCTCATGTAGGCACCAGATTTCCTGATCAAATGATGAATTTTAGTGCTCTTATTAGTGCTCTTATTAGAATTACTACTGTACATCTGCTTAATTGTCTTACATGATATACAGATGTATAACTATCTCCAGTGAATAATAAATGTGGAGAGTAAAGTTGAAGCTGACCTGCAGAAAAGAAACAAAAAAAACTTTACTGTACTTGCCAGTAAAAAGTGGTGTTTAGCAGGTTGAAAATGTCTAAATGTATATATATATATATATATATATATATATATATATATATATATATATATATATATATATATATATATATATATATATATATATATATATATATATATATATATATATATATATATATATTTGCTTTGTTTTTGTATCCAGCTGACAAAACGGAAAAGTGGATGGGGGTTTCCGAGCTCATGATCTCGACCGCTGTCCAAGGCGTGATCTTCTGTCTCTTGGCAGCACAGCCTGTTCTCGTCATTGGATTCTCTGGACCACTGCTTTTGTTTGAAGAGGCCTTTTACGCTGTAGGTTTAGTTTAGACTGCACTACTACTTAGTACTATTACTACTGCTCCTTATAATGCTATTATTACTACTACTATTACTACTACTACTATTGCTACTACTTCTCCAATCACATCTTTAACTGCATATAGCGTTTGCACTAAAAGCTATATAGTTTCTACTACTACTACTACTATTGGTTCTATTTCTACCATCAATACTACAGTTACTATTTCGCTAGCTTAATTGATACTAGAGTTACTTTCAAAATGTTTACTGCTACTATTACATTCAGTACCACTTGCATGCACAACAATAAATTAATAAATAATACAATGCTACTACTATTTCTACTTCTACCTCTATTGCTACGGCTTTAACCACAATGCCAGTTCTTCATCATATCATCTTCATTCATTTTGCCCATCCCAGTTTTGTAAAGCCAGTAACATGGAGTACATCGTGGGTCGCATCTGGGTGGGCATGTGGCTCATCGTCATAGTGGTCATCATTGTGGCAGTTGAGGGTAGTTTTCTGGTCAGATTCATCTCCCGCTTCACCCAGGAAATCTTCTCCATCCTCATCTCACTCATCTTCATCTACGAGACCTTCGCTAAGCTCTTTAAGGTGCTTATTTTTGCTATTTATAATTGTATTTCATTTCCTTCAGAACTACTCAAAGGTAGCACTGGTTTGATCACCACAATTCCAACACATTTCATTGTCAAGAGTACAACATTCAGAGTAACGATGGTCGATTGTTGCAGAAGAAACATGAGGCTGGAGTTCTAATGCAGAAGACGTTTCTTTACCATCAGTACAGGACCCAGACACATGACCCCTTAAGGCACTGCATTGTCCATTACAGTCCAGTTTGGTCACAGTCTGGTCTCTAGTCTATGCTTTCATTGTAGGGAGTATTATGTCGTAGGCCAAGATAACAGGGACTGAGCTGGCAGTGAGTGCGCTCACTACAACACAGAATGCAATTTATCTAACACAGATGTAAAAAAAAAAAAAACATTTCACATTAAATGAAATCATTTTAAATGTAACTTACTTTTACTTTTACTTTTAGAATTATTATGTGATACAGTAGTTCTACTTTTACAACATGGTAGCTTACTTAAGTAGAAGATAAAAATATGAAGTGATTATATTTCTAGCAATACCTAGTCACCATTGTTTTGCTCATATAAACAACTTTTTCATTTCAGATTTTCAAAACCCACCCTCTGATTCTGAACTACGATCACTTGAATGATTCGAGTCCAAACCCATTTCATCCAATCATCCATACGCACTTTGAGTACACCCCTGACGGTAACTTCACCATCATAGAGAAGGAAATGGAGCGGGCGTACCCCAACACCGCCCTCCTCTCCATGTGCCTTATGTTCGGGTGCTTCTTCATTGCATATTTCCTCCGGATCTTCAAGAACGGCCCGTACCTTCCTGGACCTGTGGGTTATTTTCTAGTACTAATAAGACATTTGAATTAAATGTGCATATTATGACAGGTTAGACTCACAGACTGTACAGTATATATTATTATTTTATATCTATGCTGATATAAAATTATGATAAATCTTATCACATGTACTATCCCATCAAACCAAATAGTATTTATAAATACCTAAAAACCTGTCATGAGCATTTAAACTATATTTTTGCTTACTGAATCTACATAATTTACATTTACCAAAAGTTATACTCACTGTATGTCTCTAGGTCCGTCGTTTGATTGGAGACTTCGGTGTGCCAATCGCCATCTTCTGCATGATTGCTGTGGATATCAGCATTGATGATGCTTACACTCAGGTAAGCCTGATTTGGTACTTGATTATGCAATTTGGGCATCGATCTGCATTTTATTACTGACATAAATATAACATTGTTATATTTTGTGTTATGTCGTTATATAATACAGAATACAGTGCTCTGATTGTACCATAAGGGAAGAAGGTCCTATATTACAGAAAACAGACTATTATTAGTTTAAAGTTATGTTAAAATGTTGTTACCTCATCAAAAACAAACCTGGAGTTGTGTTTGAATAACGCTCTGCTTCACCCTGTGATGTCATGAAGTGGTAGTTTTCAAGTTAGTAGCTCCCTTTTATGTTAACAGAGATTGGCAATTCTAAGATTGAAATGCTGAAATCATCCAAATTATTCTAGTGAAGGCATTTGTATAAGGAATTTCACAAGATTGAACAGTGTGTTTTCTATATGAGAAGAACTCTGCCTAAATATGCAGGGTTTGTGTATTAAACATGTGTGAACTCCAACATTATAACACAGATCAGAAAAAAATATAATACAGGCCCTTTGATGCAGGTGTTCAGTATTCTATAACTAAATACATTTTCAAAGTATTTGTCCCAACACTGATACTAAATAATAATATTTTTAGCAAAGAAGGTTTTGTCTTTTTTTTTTTTTTTTGGATAAATGTATGTACCTTTGTATTTTCGTTCAAAGAGTACAGAAAATAGATAAATGGAACTTGTATTTACAATATACTCTGTTCTCGCTAGTCTTGTGTTGTACTGATATTTTCCCAATGAATACATCTTTTAATTTTTGTGCTGTCTTGTAGAAACTGGTGGTGCCTAAAGGAGTGGAGGTGACCAACCCCAAGGTAAGAGGCTGGTTTATAAACCCCATGGGGGAGAAGAAGCCCTTCCCTATCTGGATGATGGGTGCCTCCTGTGTCCCTGCTCTCCTCGTCTTCATCCTCATCTTCCTCGAGTCCCAGATTACAACGTGAGACACTTTGATCCACACTAACAACAGAATATACACACATTTCACAAAGGTTAGGGCATTGAACCTTTTGATCATGTTTTAGCCATAAAGAATTTAACAACCTTTTTAGATGTGATATTTTAGAACATGTGTTGGCATTATTCCATAAGAGTGTAAAGCAAACAAAACTGAAAATTAAAGGTACACTATGTAACTTTTCTGATAGAGGGTCTGCCCCCTGCTTGTCTCTATGGAGATGTTATTGCTTTGTCTGGAATGTTCCACTTTGCAGTATTAAAAGGCAGAGCCACCACCAGAAACCTTACAGTGCACCTGTAATCAATGGCGCTATTCATTAAGTTATTATAAAATATTTTCATAGTTTGAGTTGACTTTTTATAAACATTTCAAAGTGTATTGTTCCTTTTCTTGTTTAAATTGTGCATTTTCACTTCCTTTGTTGTTTCAGTCTGATTGTGAGCAAACCTGAGAGAAAGATGGTGAAAGGGTCTGGTTTCCACTTCGACCTGCTCCTCCTAGTGGTCATGGGGGGTATCTCTTCTATCTTTGGGGTGCCATGGCTGAGTGCTGCCACAGTCCGATCTGTTACCCACGCCAACGCCCTCACCGTCATGTCCAAGGGCCCCAAACCCGAGATCGAAAAAGTGGTGGAGCAAAGGATCAGTGGCATCGCTGTGGCCGCGCTGGTTGGTAAGTGCTGCCATCAAGTGGTAGAAGAAAGGTTACTGCTTGTAAGTTAGAGTACAAAATACACACAAATTATACGTTAGTTATATAATGTGTTGTATTTCTCTGCTTTACTCATAAATACTTTACATGTATAGAACAGTTTTCACTCAAAATTACTTAAATGTGAAGAATTTATTATGACTGACAGAGACAAATGTCTAATCGTAGCCTCTCCGAGCACCACCAGTCATATATACTGAAAATGTGCCAAGTGTCTTGCTCAAGGACACAACAGTATGCAATCATTGGAGTGGTGGTAAACTGTGTATTAGTGTAAACTGTGCAACAAAACTTTTCCATATTGCCAATATTGCAGTTTTCCCTTCTTTTTTTAGGGTTAAAAGAACTTTAATCTCTGCTTATCTTTGCATTTCACATTATTTTGTTTAATATACTTTTTATTTGGTTTGAATTTTTTTCATTTGAAAAACACACAATAACATGTACAACAAAAAAGCCTCAAGCTACCCTATGAAATTTGGCCTCCATTTCATATGATCTGTAAAAGGCTGCCAATGTTGTTTCTTCCTAAATAATAAAGATTTTAGTTTTTCAACATTTTACTCTCTCTGTTGCACAGCTTCAGCCCTAAAGCAGTAAAAGAAACCCAATCTTGAATATAAAATAAATATTAAAATAATTAGTATTTTGTCACCTACAGGTGTTTCGATTTACATGGAGCCTGTGCTGAAGATGATTCCCATGACGGCTCTGTTTGGGATCTTCCTTTATATGGGAATCACATCTCTGAGCGGAGTCCAGATGTGGGACAGGATGTGTCTGCTCATTACACCAAAGAAATATCACCCCGCTGATGCTTATGCCACCAGGGTAAACTTTTTAATCAATCATTTTAAATCAATAAATCTTTATAGAGCCCTTTATAGCACTCAACACTCAAAGTGCTTTTCCATTAAAATCAGTACAGAAACATTTTTAGGATGATTTTAATACATGTGTAAATAAACCAAAATAACATTTGCTCTACATTTTGTCTATTTCTATATGAAATAGGAACACATGTTTTAGCTGAGTCAGGGTCCATTCATTTATGTCTTTGTTGTGAATCATTTTAACATAGACAGAATTAGAGGTGGGAGATATGTTGAAACATAATAATATTGCAATTGTTGGAGATATATCGCCTAAAATCAAACTATTACAAATTAGTGTCTGGTATAATCTCCCAAACAAGGATATATAAAGTGATATTTCTGCCGTTATGTGGTTAATTTTATACTACATTCAGGTTTTGTTGCTATAGACCAAGACATTTGACACATTTAAACGCATTTCTGATGCACTGTTAAATGTTGTCTGAATGTTCTTCTCGAGATAATGCAAAAAATATCCATATATTCATCTTTTAAATATTGGCCACCACTAGAAAGAATCTCATTTTTCAAACTTAGATGTAGACAGTATATTCTGTATGTAAAAATACTTTATATGTGCAGGTTACAATGTCTATTATCAATATTTTTAAGGTTCAGTCAAATTAGAAACAAAAGCAATGGCAAAGAGTATGTAAAGAAGTGGACTAAGATAGTAACGTCACTTCGGCCCAGTCAAATTAAGCTCACTGTGGCTTGCAGATATAGGTGTGAATTTGGAGCCGAGTTCCATATTTGGAATAATTTATAGAAAAAATAGCGCGATTAAAAACATAGGAAGATGTAGTGGGTTAATGTGAACATCTAAGACCAAAATGAGGACCCTGACAGCAGCAGTTAGGGAGAGAGGGGTGATGTTTTTTCACACAAAATGAATTAGAGCCAGAGATGATGGAGCTAGCAGGTTAGCCATGTCCATTTAGTCTATAGTAGTAAGTTTGGCAGGTGCCGATGGGAAAAAGATATCATACCTTGAGCACATCGTATCTATGACTTTGCAATCAACATTTTAAATAGCTAATTCTGACATTATTTATATATTATTTCTTTTTTTCTGTGTAGGTGAAGACGTGGCGCATGCACATGTTCACCTTCATCCAGATCATCTGTTTGGCCATTCTGTGGGCGGTGAAGATGAGTAACTTCTCTCTGGCTCTGCCTTTTGTTCTGCTGCTCACCATCCCACTGCGCATGTTCATGACTGGCCCCCTCTTCTCTGATTTCGAGATGAAATGTGTAAGTACTCATTTAAAGATCCTATGTTACACAAAAAAGATTCTTGTGAGCTTTAAGTCGTGCTTAAAGCTCACAAGTGCTACTACCTCTTCAAAAACATACCAGGAGTTGTGTTTTGTTTCATTCACACATGTTTGAGTAAACCTTTATTATTCTCTCTACTTCTCCAAAGCTCAAAATGCTCTGTTCCACCTTGTGATGTTATGAAGTGGTGGTTTTCAAGTTAACAGCTACCTTTTATCTTTGGTTCAGTAGAGATAATGATTCTAGTGAAGGTGTATAGATTAAAAACACTGAGGAGCACTTCCTGTATGACCGCATGATATCACAAGGCAGAATAGAGTGTTATCAGTTTGAGAGAAGGACTCAGCCTAAATATGTCCATGAATAGGCCTATATAACACTTAAGTCATTGTGTATAAGTATATATTTTGTTTTTGTTTCAACAGCTGGATGCAGATGACGCCAAAGTGAAGTTTGAGGAAGAACCTGGAGAGGATGTGTACTACGAGGCTCCTCTGCCATAAACTGACAATTACTTATGCACCAAATTTTAGGGAAATAAGCAAGACTATTTCAACAATAATTGAATGTCAAATGTAATTAGTTTAAAAGTCATAGTATATTTAATTTCTTAATGTTTAGTCTTTGAAAAAAAGGTGTAGTACTCTTTGATGATTGACATTGGGCATTTCAACATTGTACACAACTGACCTCTTTATTATGCCAAAATTTGATATTTATATTAGGATGTAATTACATTTATATATGTGGTACAATACAGTATTTATACACATTGTTTTACAGCACCTGTATGCCAGCCTTTCAAATTGAATTTTGTTGATTTTTTTGAATTGTGGTGAGTAATTATGTGCTATGATTGGTTGCCTTCTCCTATATTAGTTTCTTAATAGTTGTTTTATTATGTCAGTTAAGTGCTTTAGTGGGTTAGTAATAGTATAACTGAGTGAGAAAGGTTATGATTTTAATGAGCATTGTATTCTGATTGCTATTTGTGCGCTTATGACACTGTACATGCTTAAGGTTTACATTTTAATACAATAAAGGTCTTTAAATGTGATTCGTTTTGTCTCAAGCTCACGTAATACACTTAGTTGGCTCTGAATCGGTCTCTTAATCTCGAGTTTATCCAAAGAGGAGGGCCAAGGAGGGAAGTCGTTCTGCCAGTCAGTGGCATGCTGCATTCAGGATCATCTCGTACATTCTAGCCTCTCAGAATGTGAGCCCTGTCTGTCAACAATTTCTGACACATCGTTTGCTAATACAATGAGTATTTAATTTTGGTTACAAAAAATAAAATAAAATTTGATTAAAATTAAGCTTTAGGTTATTGCCTCTGATACATGTTTTTCATAGGAAGAGCTAGTACTTTGTCTCCATATAACAATTAAATTAATCTCAAATTGCATCCAGTTCAACAAGAAAAAAAAAATGCTTAAATTGATTAATTCTCAGCAATGAAAGGAGATATTTTTGCAGGTTCGTGTTACATGCAATCCATTGATATAGCTACTTTTAAAAAAATAAATAAGAATGAAAGTATAACAATGACAGAATTTAAGTTGTAAGAAATATGTGAAATATGATTTAAAATCAATTTTATTGACTTCAATTATTTAATTAGACATAATGTAATTACTTTATTACAATCAACGTAAATGTATGAAATAATAATTAAATTTGCCAGTTAATGCAATCAAAAGAAAAAAATTGAATTAGTTTTATTAATAAATATTTTTAAAATCAGATTAGACAACAAAATAACATTGTAAAGTCAGGTTATGTAACTATTCATGAGATAACAAAATGTATGGTTGAATGAAACCATGGATTAAAACAATTTTAAAAAGACTATTTTTGGTCTCTGTAAAGCGATTGCCAAATTTCCTAGAGAAAGGGAAGGCGGCGCAGTTCAACAAGGCCCAGTGCCTGAAAGTCATTTGTTTTCTGTGGATAGGACGGACAGGATTGGACAGCTGAGGTATCCGCCCACAAACACACAAGGTGGAGTTGAAAAGAAATAACATGCAGGAGGGCCAAAATGAAGCTGTCAAACCCTCCACCAAACGAAAAGACCGTATACTGAAAAGCTAAAAAGGGTTAGCAATCTCGGCAGGCACTGATCTAAGCTAATGCATTGCTTACACGCTCGCAGCGGACTGGCGATGCTGTTGCTAGTCCGTGCGTAATAAAGGAACGAACTAAGATACCTTTTGCAAATCTTGTATTAAAACTATAACACATCTGATTCTGTAGTATAGGAGAGGCGAATTCGGGTTGGAGGTCAAACATGAAGGCGCAAATGATGGCTACCGGCGGCTACGCGGTCGGGACGGGAAGGGAAGGGGAAGCGACACTGCTGCTGGCGCATCGGAAAAAATGTGGATCACGGTTCGGCGTAGCGAAATGGTTGGCTGGAGAGAGAGGAGCTGCTGCGCGTTGAGTGGAGGGATGGAGGCGGGGGGGAAGGAGCATCTCTGCGGGGACTGGAGCTGAGGACGGACGGCGCAGTGCTGGCTATCGTTCAACCCTCCCCTTCTTCCTCCACAACGACGACGCCGGAGCGAGAGCCGAGAGACAGGTACAGCAACCGCGCTCTGCTGCCGCTGCCTCCGCTCACTCGGTTTCATAACACAAAACAAAGAGAGCGAGCGATAAACATAACAACGTGCAACTGAATACCGCCAAATTTTACAGTAAGTCGTGTTTGTTTTTGTGAGACAGCTTTGCCCGCTTTGTACTTTCGAAAAAGACATCCGCCGTGGAGGGGAGCGCACGGGGTCGCCATAGCCGGAATTCATGTCCTCTAGCGCGGGCACAAAACTGAACGAGGTCGGTTGGTAAAGGCGTTGTTTTTGATGAAATTACACATCCTGGTTGCTCTGTGGTGATTTCCATAAACGAAACTCGGTCTTTCGTGCTTTAGTGGGTTGTTTACGTGTGGAAACTCGTGGTGTTTTCCGCGCCGAGACCTCCATGCGGCTGCTGGCGGAACAACCAGCCGCCTCTGTCCGCTCAGCCATCAGGGATCTCGGTTTAATATCTCAGCGCGCATAGGCTCGCCCTCTCTCACCCCCTCGCTCTCTCTAGCCCTGAAGAACCAGCGGAGGACCACGGAGGACCGAGAACCCGCCTTCCTGCTGTCCTTTACGCGCTTTTGGACCGAGGGGTCTGTCTGATACGCCCCGGCTTTAGGTTGAGGCACGGTTTTCTCAGTTTGCAGTGCGCCATTGGACCTTGGCACGGTAGGTCTCCTTCTAGAGCAGAGCTGAAGCATGGCGGACTGGGGCTGTTTGTCGCGCCTGTGAACCACTCAGCCGCGGATAAGCGTCTCTCCATACTGTTTTCCAACCGACTAGTGGATTTTAAACTCTACTTATTTATACAAAGGATTCAGGTGTATTTTCTAAAATATTTTGCTGATTTTAGCCGTGTTAGGTCGTGCTTTTTCCGTTCTTGGCTCCCCCATTACCTCCTGGTGCTCTAGCCGTCCATCGTGACACTATTTCGGGCAATGCTCGGAGATGTTTACAGGCCTACTTTGCCTTTAACTAACGCGTTTTATTCGTGTAAGCATACTTGACCCACATCGGTAAGCTTTTTAAATTACATTTTAATTCGTGTTACCTATATTAAGTGTTATTTCATATTTATATAGCATTAAGAGGGCATGTGGTGCAAGTTGATTTTCACAGCACCCTGCTGCTCTACTTTCGATCCATATGTTCCGCAAATCTGTGAAAATATCGTTAAATAGCTGTTACAATGAGTCCAATTGTATAGTTTTGTTGTTTATGACAAACTAAAATGGCGAAAACAACGTTGTTTGTGTCGCTGGGTCATGCGGGAGACACCATGGTGAGCTGGGGCCATCAAGGACACCACGAACAACGAGCAGCCGCCATCATTGGAGCGCAACTCGGCTACGCCTTGTTCAAGAATGCACTACCTTTTCCTCATTACGCACCGCGCGAAAACGCCAAATACTTGAATAAAATTGCAGAAACTCGTCGCGGGTGGATAAAAGAGCTGATTACTGCTAAACGTCAGCGCTTAAAACTCGATAAACGAACAAAGAAAGCGCTCGGGTAGGCATGGCGGAGCTAGATTGGCGTGTGGCGGTGATGAGGCCCC